AAAGTTTGTGTTAAATTGTAGCATGATTCAACAGTAATACACTCTGTATTTATACTCCACAAGCTAACATCTGCTAACCAGTTATAAATAACAGTGATAACATCGACTTTATAAGGTTATTTTAATTTTAAACTGTTACATTATGTTCTGCTCAGATCACATTGAGCTAAATAAGATCAAATCTGCTGACTTGTGTTGTAAAATGAGACCTTTTCCTGTTTATCTTGTTAATAAATCCATAACACAAACAGCTTTTCTGACATTATTTAAAACATTAGAAAGATTATATAAACTGTAAAATATTAATAATAATTGTGTTAATGTTATTCTTAATAGTCTTAATGATTTCTACATTGTCAGTCCTTTTTTCTGCTCTTTTGTCAACATGTGCAGTAATGGAAAATCCAGACTCTTGACCTTTTAGCGTTAGCCGTTAGCTTCACCAGCCGATCACACGGTCACCTGGTTTCTTCACACTCCAGTTCTATAGAACCTCCTTGACCAGAACCATCCGGCCCACCTCTTCCTCACTCAGAGTTTACCTCACTCAGTCTCAGATCTGTTCTTCAGTCTCAGATCTTCAGTCTCAGATCTTCAGTCTCAGATCAGATCTTCAGTCTCAGATCTGTCTTTCAGTCTCACATCTGTCTTTCAGTCTCAGATCTTCAGTCTCAGATCAGATCTTCAGTCTCAGATCAGATCTTCAGTCTCAGATTTTCAGTCTCAGATCTTCAGTCTCAGATCAGATCTTCAGTCTCAGATCTTCAGTCTCAGATCAGATCTTCAGTCTCAGATCTTCAGTCTCAGATCTTCAGTCTCAGATCAGATCTTCAGTCTCAGATCAGATCTTCAGTCTCAGATCTTCAATCTCAGATCAGATCTTCAGTCTCAGATCAGATCTTCAGTCTCAGATCTTCAGTCTCAGTTCAGATCTTCAGTCTCAGATCAGATCTTCAGTCTCAGATCAGATCTTCAGTCTCAGTTCAGATCTTCAGTCTCAGATCTTCAGTCTCAGATCAGATCTTCAGTCTCAGATCTTCAGTCTCAGTTCAGATCTTCAGTCTCAGATCAGATCTTCAGTCTCAGATCAGCTGATCAGTGATTGATGTGTGCTTCTGTGTGTTCATGCTTGACGCTGCTGCACCGTGGATTAGGTCTGATGTGCTCTTCGGAGGTTTTTGTCCCAGATGTGACAGCAGGGGGAGGATCTGAGAAAGATGAGGCTGAGAGGAGAGGATGAAGGTTTGCAGAGAGATGAAGATGTGGAATGTAGGATTATAGATAGAGAGAGTCAGTAGGCTTAGAGGTGTCACATGGAAGGAAAGAGAAGATGTTAGAGGGAAACATCTGATGAGGAGTGAGGATGATGATGAAGAGGAAGTAAGGATGAAGAAAACAAGAGAAACAGAGTCAAACTTCAGATCTACAGTTTCTATAACAGAAACCATCAAATGTTCAGTTTCAACACAAGTTTCATCTCAGAAATGCTTTCAGTAGACTGGCTCTCTGCAACATTTCACTGTTCTTCCTCATTGTTCCTTTATCTAAACGCTAATGTTCCTCTAGTTAGTGTTCCTCTGATCTTCTTCAGTGTTCCTCTAACATTGTTTTTCAGTTTTCTAATATATTTTCTAGAGTCTTTTGTTTGTTTTTGTTGTGAAGATGGTCCAAAGTGTTTAGGTTAGATGCTGGATGTGAGGAAAGCTTCAGACACAGGTAAACTCAGGTGAACCCTGCAGTGGTTACCTGAGTTTACCTGGAGCCAGGTCACAAAGTGTCCCTCAGCTCTGGTTAAAGCCTGCAGATGTTTGAGCTCTGAATGATTCCTAGCCTCACACAGCTCAGCAGTCTGAACAGGAACATCTGTGTGTGTTTGTAGTTTTATCAGTGGGAGCAGGTGATGATGGTTCATATAAAATCATCACAAACTCACTTCCTGTGTTTTCTCCAACATGTTCTGTCCTTTAGAGCTCTGAATGATTCAAGATGCATGTTTCTGTTCTGCAGACCGAGCTGCTGCTGCCATGAATCTTTCATGCAGCAGGTTTAGTGCCGAGCTGGAGCACAGGCTGGGAGTCCTTCTAATGGAAGGATGAAGAGTTCACTCCTCTTCATCAAACACTGACGTTCTGCTGAACAAGCTGAACACAACAACTTCAGTAACTTTTTCACCTCACTTCATCTTCATCTTCATTCAGAACAAGTACAGTAAGTTAGAGGTCAGGTTACCATGGAGAAGACTGGATCTGAACAAAACACATGGTGATGTCGTACACATGTTACCATGGTGATGTCATACACCTGTTACCATGGTGATCCAGCCTCATGGTTCTGGTGACAGAACATGTGTTACATTGAAAATATCTCCATCATTTCTGGTTTTAGTAAGTAAGTAAGTAAAGTTTTATTTATATAGCAGCTTTCATAGAAATAGATTCACAAGGTGCTGTACAATCAGAGGCAAATCTAAATCTGTACAATCAGAGGCAAATCTAAATCTGTACAATCAGAACAGGATATACAAAAATTTGGAACAAAACAGTATAAAAGCTGTACAACCATCAAAGTATGAAGACTGTACAATCCAAAAAATAAAACAAGTAAATAATATCCAGACAAAAATGTGGAGGGCAGAGTAAAACATTAACATATTAAGATGAAGGATTTTTAAATCAGAAATTAATTAGGAGGCAGGTCTCTGAATGGGTCGATTGTGGAGTACTGGTACATTTTATAAAAATACATTTTTGATAAATTGAACTGATTTTGGATGAAAGTCCTGTCTGTTTGACATATATTAATATGATGAACTGTACGGTCAGCAGGTAGGGTTTGGTGAAACAGACACTAAAAGGTCAGGCTGCAGAAAAACGCTGAAATTAGTTAGTTAAATGCTTGTTTAAAGAGGTGTGTTTTCAGATATTTCTTGAATGAATCAATGCTTTCAAGCGTGCTCAGATGGATAGGAAGATCAGTCCAGAGCCTGGGGGCCCTGGAGGAGAAGGACCGGTCACCGCGGGTCTTGAGACGTGTGAGGGGAACCATTAGGAGATGTTGATCCTGTGAGCGTAGGCTGGGTTTGGGTTGTAAGGGGAGATGAGACTTTTAATGTAGTCAGGCGACTGGACATGAAGAGCTCTGAAAGTGAGGACCAGGATTTTGAACTTGATTTGAAAATGAACAGGGAGCCAGTGAAGCTCTGAAAGGATCGGGGAGATGTGTGTTAATTTTGAAGTTCGGGTTAAGAGTCTTGCTGCAGAGTTTTGTACGAGCTGAAGGTGATTGATCTGTTTCTGGGTCAGACAGGTGAACAGGCTAGGTTTTACTGGAGTCCAGGGTTTTTTAGACCTGCAGATCAAAGAAAATCAACATGAAAGGAGTTCACTGAAGTCAGACTGAAGTCAGAGGAGATGAATCCATCAAAGGTTCTGATGGTTCTGTAATGGATCAGACTGGAACCAGAACTCWGTGTTTCTGTTTCACATGAATCTGAGCAGAAAATCCTCTTCAATATTTGATGACATTTTTTTATTTGTCCTACAAGCTCCTCCTCCTCTTCCTCAGGACATTAGTGTAGCTTCAGGAGTTGGACCGGACTCCTCCACAAGTTTTAAAGTCACCCTGTGAACTGCTGAGTCATGATGCTGTGAGGACAGGCCCCGTCCTGCTCTGTGTCCAGGAGACGGTGAGGGGACACAGCTGGACAGTCTACATCTTAGACAACTCATCTGGACTTCCTGTTTGCTCCACCTTTCTCACCCAGTGAGCAGGGGACAGGAAGTGCAGTCAGAGGAGCAGCTGGCTGTGCAGAGGACAGCAGCAGGGAACTGACTGTGGACCCTACACCTACCCCTACCCCTACCCTTACCACTACCCTAACCGTGTTTGTATAGCTTCCTTTCAGTAGATTTTACTGCACTCAGTTGGTTTGTCAGATCCTGTCCTGTGTAAGACCTCTGCTCTGACATTCAGACCCATCTGGATCCAGTTTTAAGACTCCAGGTCTTGTCAGAACCTGGAAGACTGAGGGTTGTGTGTGGTGCAGTGTTTCTACTGCACACAATAACAAGCAGTTCTTAAATCATCTGTTTTATTTGAAAGATTTGTACCGTCCGTCCGTTTTCTTCCTTTTATCCGGGCTCAGGTCTCGGGGGCAGCAGCCAAAGCACAGAGACCCAGACTTCCCTCTCTCCAGTGTGTCCTGGGTCTTCCTCTGGGTCTCCTCCCAGTGGGACGTGTCCAGAACACCTCACCAGGGAGGAGTCCAGGAGGCATCCTAACCAGATGAACCACCTCAACTGGCTCCTCTGGATGTGGAGGAGCAGCGGCTCTACTCTGAGTCCCTCCTGGATGACTGAGCTTCTCAGCCTATCTCTAAGGGAGAGCCCAGACACCCTGCAGAGGAAACTCATTTCAGCTGCTTGTGTCTGTGATCTCCTTCTTTCAGTCACTACCCAAAGCTCCTGACCATAGATGAGGGTAGGAACGTAGACCCACTGGTAAACTGAGAGCTTCACCTTCTGGCTCAGCTCTCTCTTCACCACGACAGACCGGTACAACACCCACATCACTGCAGACGCAGCACCGATCCACCTGTCGATCTCCCGCTCCATTCTTCCCTCATTCATGAACAAGACCCTGAGATACTTAAACTCCTCCACTTGGGGCAAGACCTCCTCCCTGACCCGGAGAAGGCACGCTACCCTTTTCTGGCTCAAGACCACGGTCTGGGATTTGGAGGCTCTGATCCTCATCCCGGCTGCTTCACAGCTTTGAACCGCTCCAGTGAGTGCTGGTGATCAGGATCTGATGAAGCCAATAGGACCACATCATCCACAAAAAGCAGAGATGTGATCCTAAGGTCACCAAAAAGGATCCCCTCAACACCTTGGCTGCTCCTAGAAATTCTGTCCAGAAAAGTTATGAACAGAATCGGTGACAAAGGACAACCTTGGTGGAGTCCAACGCTCACTGGAAACAAGTCTGACTTATTACCAGCAATGTGGACCAAGCTCTGGCACCGGTGCTACAGGGAACTAACAAACCGTTTCAATGGCCTGGTACCCCATACTCCTGGAGTACCCCCCACAAGAGTCCCCAACATGGTTGAATGCCTTCTCCAAGTCCACAAAACACGTGTCGACTGGTTGGGCGAACTCCCATGCACCCTCCAGGACCCTGTTGAGGGTGTAGAGCTGGTCCACTGTTCCACGACCAGGACCAAAACCACACTGGTCTTCCTGAATCCGAGATTCAACCATCTGATGGACCCTCCTCTCCAGAACCCCTGGATAGACCTTACCTGGGAGGCTCAGAAGTGTGATTTCCCAATAGTTGTAACACACTCTGTGTTCCCCCTTTTTAAATAGGGGGATCACCACCCCGGTCTGCCAATCCAGGGGAACTGCCCCTGATGTCCCCGTGACATTGTAGAGTCGCGTCAACCAACGCAACCCCGCAACATCCAGAGCCTTAAGGAACTTCGGGTGAATCTCATCCACCCCTGGTGCCCTGCCACCGAGGAGCTTTTTAACCACCTCAGTGACCTCGGCACCAGAGATTGGAGAGTCCGACCCAGGGTCCTCAGGCTCTGCTTCCTCATGGGAAGACGTGTCGGTGGGATTGAGGTCTTTGAAGTATTCTGCCCACTGACCCACAACGTCCAGAGTTGAGGTCAGCAGTGCACCATCCCCACCATAAATAGTGTTGGTGGTGAACCACTTCCCCCCCCCCCCGAGACGCCAGATGGTGGACCAGAATCACTTCGAAGCCATACGGAACCCTTTTTCCATGGCCTCTCTGAACTCCTCCCACGTCCGAGTTTTTGCCTCAGCAACCACCCGAGCCTCAATCTGCTTGGACTGCCGATACTTATCAGCTGCTTCCAGAGTCCCACAGGCCAAAATACCCAATAGGACTCCCTCTTCAGCCTGACAGCATTCCTCACCACCGGTGTTGACAAACAGGTTCAAGGGTTGCCGCCACGACATGCACCGACAACCTTACAGCCACAGCTCAGGTAAGCTGCCTCGACAATGGAGGCACGGAACATGGCCCACTGAGACTCAATGTCTCCCACCTCCCCCGGAACATGTTCAAAGTTCTCCTGGAGGTGTGAGTTGAAGCTCTGTCTGATGGGAGACTCTGACAGACATTCCCAGCAGACCCTCACTATACGTTTGGGTCTGCCAGGTCTGACCGGCATCCTCCCCCACCAACGGAGCCAACTCAACACCAGGTAATGGTCAGTTGACAGCTCCACACCTCTCCTCACCTGAGTGTCCAAAACATGTGGCCGCAGATCAGATGAGACTACAACAAAGTCGATCATTGAACTGTGGCTTAGGGTGTCCTGGTGCCAAGAGCACATACACACACCCTTATGTTTGAACATGGCGTTTGTTATGGACAATCCATGATGAGCACAGAAGTCCAATAACAAAACACCGCTCGGGTTCAGATCAGGGGTGCTGTTCCTCCAAACCACGCCTCTCCAGGTCTCACTGTCATTACCCACGTGAGAGATTTATGAGAAGATTTGTACCTTTTTATGTAAAATAAAATGCCATCATATTCAGGTAGATCTGTTCACGTCAAAGGACTTCTATCAAAACTCTTAAAGTTAGAGTTCTGTACCAAACTGACTCAAACATTTTAAATTGAAAACATTCATCATCTTCATCATCATCATCATCAAACCCTGACTTCTGTTTCTGATTTTAATATTTCATTCATATTTTACAGAAAAGCCAGACGTGAGTTTCAGGATCAGATGTGAACAGTTTGTGGTTTTCACTTAATTTCAAGCTGAACATGTACACACACAGTTTGTTTTTCTATCCTCCTGGGTCTTCACATTGACTTCCATTCATTTACCAATCATTACTACAGCCTGACCTCACAGGTACATACCTGACTCTAACCCCAACCTCACAGGTACATACCTGACTCTAAACCTAACCTCACAGGTACACACCTGACTCTAAACCTAACCTCACAGGTACACACCTGACTCTAAACCTAACCTCACAGGTACACACCTGACTCTAAACCTTCCCAATTTTTTTGTCATAAACCTAACCCCACTTGTAATTTCCATTTGGTCATTGGTCCCCAAGAGGCTGCTTTTTTAAAAAAATGTCCGCACGATGTAGGAAAAACAAGCCCCCCCCACACACACACACCTACTATGTCCCTCTATCCTTGTGGGGACCTTCCATTGACTTTAATTCATTTTTTGGAAATTTTATATCCTAACCCTGACCATTTACCCTAAAGCTAACCTAAACTCAATTCACACCTTGGTGCTAAGCCCAACGCCCCTCCAGCCC